CTTATTAAAGACACGGTGGCCCAGTTATCCAATTGACAACTATATAGATGTAAAACAGAAGAAGCTGAAAAAATAATAGGCCTGGTGGTAGAGGCCTATGACCTCAGCAGTTAAGAGGCTACGCTATGAAGATCAAGAGTTGGAGGCCTGGAGCTGGAGAGATGGTTCAGCAGTTAAGAGCAGACTGCTCTTGTAGAGGATCGAAGTTGAGTTCCCAACACCCACATTAGGCAGCTCACTTGCCTGTAACTCCAGCTCCAGGGACTCTGAAACCCTCTGCTGGCTTCCATGGGTGCCACATTCACATTCACATCCCCATATACACGTATACCTAATTGAAAATAAAAAATTAAAATCTTAAAAAAGAGTTTAAGGTCATCCTGTACTGCACAGGAACCTGCTACAGATATCCCCCTCTAAGAAAGATCTATATGTATTAATAAAAGAAACATCTTCAAGATACTAAACTAAGAAAAGCAAGCCTCAAAACTGTTTGGCAGCATACTTTCAGTTTTTATACTTGGGATGAAAATTGAAAGGAGACAATTTAGAAATGTTTCTCTGTTTTTAAAATATATAATTGGGGGCTGGAGAGATGGCTCAGCAGTTAAGAACACTGCAGAAGTCCCGAGTTCAGTTCCTAGCTCCCACATGATAACTAACAACCATCTGTAACTCCAGTTCCAGTGGATCCATTGACCTCTTCTGGCCTCTGTGGGCACTGTACAACATGGGTCCACTTACATATATACAGGCATAACACTCATAGACATAAAAATTTTTAAATCTAAATGAAAGTACCGATCTATAGGCTGATGAGATGACTCAGTGGGTAAAAGCGCTTCCCATACAAACCTGATGACGTGAGTTCTATTCCCAAATTCCATTTTGTAAGAAGAGAACCACTTCCCAAAGTTGTCCTTTGGCCTCCACAAGTGCACAATGGCACTCCCTCCGCTCACACACATAAGTATACCATGGCAGACACACTCCTCTCACACATACACATACAGTAACAAAAATTTTAAGTAGCTATCTTTAGGGAGAGGAATGGATTGGATAAATGTGGAGAGTGGGAAGCAAAATAGCTTCTTAGAGTCTGTTATTTGATGCTGTTTTGATGCGTGAATCATCAATATATTATTTATTCAAAATGTTTAGGTAAGACTCCAAATAAGAGCTGTTTACTGCATTTTCATTATGGAGGAACCCTTGGGTAATCATATAAGTCAGGAATCTTACAAGTATAAATGTCAGAAATCTATCTTAAGCTGTGTATGATGGGTCATACCTGTAATCTCGGCACTTGGGAAGCTGAGATAGGATTGCTGCAAGTTCAAGGATTTGACTAGGTAGTTAGGTTCAGGCCAGCCTGGGCTATGGAACTAGAGCCCATCTCCAAAAACAAATGAAAAAAAGCATCTGAAGTTTACTGACGTCAAAGAGAGGCAATCCACTTGTAACCAAAAAGTCCAGAGGTGGAGCTGGCTTGGGGCTGCTGGAACACAGAGCACTACTTGTTGAGAGGGAATGCCTATACCGCAGGCTTTCCAGGCACCTCTGGGACCCTGGCTTCAACCACGAAGCAGATTGCTGGTGTCTCCTCCAGCGTTTCCCAAGCAGCAACTTTGGAGGTCGCTGCCATCTCCAACATGAGCTTGGGAGTCTGCTGCCCTTCAGTTTAGAAAATGAATGTGCTGGGGGTGACCAAGGAGAGCCAGCAACTTCTCCTCCAGGGCTTCAGCTGCGGTTGCTCTCTTGCGAAACCGACACGCTGCAGATGCATGACACTCTGGACTTGAGAATGTGGGGCATTCAGAGCCAGACCAAGAGTGTGTGTGTGGGGAGACGGCTAGGCTTACCCGCTTGCCAGAATCAGGGAAAGGGAGAGAATGGGAGACCACTTATCTCCCTCCCACTCCCCTTTCCTCATTCCAGGCCCAGACACCAGACCAGTATGTCTCCAAGTGAGTAAAAAAAAAAAAGGGAACATGGGACAATGCCACATGTAAGGATGTTAGGAAACCCAAACACAGCACAGCACTGATGTACTTAATTTGGTTTATAAAATGCAATTTGCAATTTCTGTGGAATCTTCTGTTAGTGTTAAAAGGAAAAACAAAAAGGCCCAGTTGATTAGAAATCAGGAAAACAGAATCCCAGACTGGAATCTGTCGCCATCGAGCTAGAGACCACTTGCAGGTCGCTGAACCCCTTTGTGTTAGTTTCCTCGTCTGAAAAATGTGAAAACTATTCAGCTTCACAGAGGTTAAGCAAGAACGTAAGAACCCTGAAAAAAAATATAAACACGACAAGCATTAACAAAAGGCATCTGTTTTACCTAAATGGCTTACATAAATTTTTTTTTTTTAATCTGTAAAGGTTGTTAGTAGAACTTGACTCATTCCCAAGCTAGTTAAGTTGGCTTTGGGGAGGTAGTGGAAAGCTTTAATTCCATAATGGAATCTACTGCTTTTCACCTGTCGGAGGCCTATTTCCTAAATCTTCCCTCTGAGAAAGCTTTCGCCTATTAGCCCAGTGGTCGGAAAGATGTTGACTGCTCCCACTCCCTGAGGTGGACTTGTGACCAATCAGACCGTCAGCCTTCTCCCCACATGTGACATGAGCCAACCAATCAGAAACGAGTTTCAATTATGAGCTTTGGTTACTGCTAGAGAAGTCCTCTCTAGTCAAAGGAATGGGTTGTAAGCCTTGAGGTTCTAGAGCCTTCTTACTTCCACAAGGGAAAGCCTGTCTGAAACGATGCCAACCAAAGGAAAATGGGGGAGAGCAGACAGACTCCCAGTGACACATTTGATCCCACTATCCCCAATGCCAGTTCTACTCCAGGACCTCTGTTACCCGAGGCAGTAGACATTCTTGTCATTCAACAGAATTGGATTTCTGAAGCCTTCAGCTCTGCAAGTCTTGATTGATACAGATCTCCAAGACAATCTGAGAATATGCAAAGATAAATCATGCCCACATATAAAGCTGTATGAAATAAAATGGACATTTTAAACCACATCTTTATTTTCTAATTTATGTTTCTGTGTATGAGTGTTATGCCTTGCATGTATGTAAGTGTGCCTGTGTCATGCAGTGCCTGTAGAGGTCAGAAGGGGTTATCAGATCTCTTAGAACTAGAGTTACAGAGGGTTGTTAGCTGCAATGTGGGTGCTGGAATTTGAACCCAGGTCTTCTGCAAGAATAGCCAGGGTTCTTAACCGTTGAGCAATCTTTCCAAACCCTGCATCTTTATCCTTATGTGTGCTTGTGGTGTATACGTGTGTACATGCAGAGGCCAGAGAAGGACATTAGGTGTCCTGCTCTATCACTCTCTGTCTCAGTCCCTTAAGACAGGTTCTCGGGGAACCTGAAGTTCACCATTTTCCAACTAGACTGGCCAGCCAGTGAACCCAGGGACCCTCCTGTCTCCCCCTCCTTTCCCAGTGCTGGGAGAGTTTTTATGTGGGTACTAGGGATCCAAACTCAGGTCTTCATGCTTGTGCAAGCAAGTGCCCTTACCCACTAAGCCATCTTCCCAGCCCAAGTGACATCTTTCTAACATCCAACAGTCTGGAACCATCCCAGAAAACTCTGCTTCATAACAGTACGCAGGTGACATTTTATAACAGAAAGGCAAATTACTAAAATAAAGAAATATTTTATTTTACTCTTTCAGTCATGAGGTCCAAGGAAATACAAGTTTATAGAAATTTAAAATATTACCAAAATAGGGGTAAGACCAACATTAGAGGCTGCGTGGAGACTGGGGTGCTTTCTGGCCTTCTCAGTTTGCCAAGCCAGGTCTAGCCCATGTAACAATTTCTGTGGTATCTGTCCAGAAGAGAGTTGTCACAGAATCATGAAGCCCAAACAACTGAAACGTGTACAGTACACAAAACATTACCAGGTGGCTCACACTAGTTGTTTACACTAAAATAACTAGTAAACTAGAGTAAATAAACCTATTACAGCCCCTCAAACATCCCTAGTCATTCCTTGATTTGTTCGTCCATTTATGCATGCACACATCCAATGAGTATTTATTGAGCACCTATTGTATGCAAGAAGGCACCAAGTTAAATTCTGGAATGCACACATTCTGCCCATAAGGAGCTCCCAATCTCACGTGTGGAGAAGTGGAATGGAAGAGAGGCCTTGTGTCTGTGTCATGAGAAGTACTAACAACACATCTGCTCAAAGCAAAGCACAGCATGGATTCAATCTACCATGGTACTCTGGATAAGGTTTCAGAATTAAAATTTGGTCACAGTCTTTTTGTTCCAAGGTTACAACGGGGACCCATGGCATTGTGAAAAGTTACAGTGGACTCAGAAATGGTTATTAGTTTCTACCACTCCACATTTAGGGGAGGTGCAGGCTGTCGTGATAGAAGTGGCCGTTGAGCCTCTCCACTTACCAGGACCAAGGAGAGACATCGCACACTCCCACTCCCCAGAGCACCCCCAAGGCTGTCCAAATGGACTGCTCGGCCCTGAACACGTACCCTCAGGACTGCTCCCACTTCTCTGGACATGGATTTGGAGCTAGAGTCCTTGTCAGCATTCCGAGGCCTACTTCTTCTCCACAATGGCTTGCTTTTCCTTTGCCATTAGTGATTTGGGTGAAAAGACAAGAGTCTGTAGGCCTTGCTTAAATGTAAAGGGCCTGACTCGTGTTTCCTGTAGTGTCCTAAAACACCAGTCAGAGGCATTAAAAGGAGGGGCAAATACACCCCATCCTGTACCTGGACATTTCCACTGCCCCCTCCTTTCTGCCTGCCTTAGATCTGTGTTCTCTTTTGACAGGTTTACTGGCATAAAATGAAATTGAGAAGCAAGTTTCAGCTTCTGAGTCAGACTGAATACAAGTGTTGCCAGTACAAAGAACAGTTTTATAAATCTCTCTCTCTCTCTCTCTCTCCCTCTCTCTCTCTCTCTCTCTCTCCCTCTCCCTCTCCCTCTCCCTCTCTCTTTGTTGTTTTTGAGACAGTCTCCCTGCAGCCCCAGCTTGCCTGGAAATCACTATGTAGACCAGGCTGGCCTCGATCTCACAGAGATCCACCCGCTCTGCCTCCTGAGTGCTGGGATCAAAGGTTTTATAATTGCAGAGCCACCCTACTGGGAGATACATTCACTACGGACCGACCACCAGGTAGCTGCAGGGTAAAAGCCGCAGCTCTGTGAGCAGGAGAAACAAATGAGGAGACTGAATCTCCTAACAGGGGTCTTCCACATTCCCTCATTAATGTGCATAGTGAGCGGTGTCGAGGCCGGACTGCAGAAGCATTTTGCTTAGTTCATCTAAAAATCAGAGTATCTTAGTGTTAATTTATTAGCTAAATCTTTAACATTAGGAGATATAATCACTATAAATTTAATTTTATAAATGCTCATAAATTTATGTAGTTCATTGTCTAAAAGGTGAAATTTTGAAGTGAATATTCCCTGATTTGACTTCTTTTAATAAATGTACTAAACTTAAATTTTTTCATGTAGTGTATATATTTCCATAAATCATTCCTACATTAAAAACCAACAGAATATATACAAAAATAAGAATTTTCCATTTTCTGTAACACCTGTCTTTCTGCATATGAATTAGGTCATATAAAAAGTATCTTAGAAAAATAGAAAAATATTGCTACAATGTTAAAAATATTCTACACTCTGGAGGGAAACATACCTTTGTAAATAGAACAACTACTAGGAATTCTTAATGAGATTCAAGTCCTGGATGTGCCACAGTTATGTCCCAATCAGAGTGACATCCAAACCCGTCCATCCTCTGTGACACTTCCAGAAACTGTCTGTGACATTTGCTGAGTGAGACAGGAGTCTCCTTTTTTCAAAAGTCATCATTGATTTCTGTGGATATCCTTAGGGTGACATTCTAGAGAGAGAGAGAGAGAGAGAGAGAGAGAGAGAGAGAGAGAGACTATGACTAGCAAAGAAGTAAAACAACTCTAATACTAATTATAAAATTTCCTGAATCTTTGCTCCACTCCAGAGGTGTCCCCACCTGTGTTACACCATGCTTGAACTGGGTTCTAGGGAATTATCTTGGCTTTTCACAACATTTTAGTTTGTTTTCAAAGGCGAGATTCTCCCTGTGGCCAAATCTGCTAACCTCTTACTTTCTGTCTGTAATTGAACACTTTCCAACACATACATGTTTTCTAGTAAGTGAGATCTACCTGAACACAACCAGGGCTTTGAACATCAATGGCAGAGTACATATGAAAGTCTCATTGGTTGAGTGACTTGTAGGTGATGCTTCCCTTTGGTTGAATAAGCTAATAAACTAAGTTGTACTATACATAAGTAGATATTATATAATTTATAAACATATATAATATATCCTCCCTGCCCCCAAACACATTAAGGATAAAAAGAGAATGTTTTTCTTTTTTGTTCTTTTTGTGACGGGGTCTCCCTGTAGTCCCAGCTGGCCTGGAACTCACTATGTAGACCAAGCTGGCCTTGTACTCACAGAGATCCGCCTGCTTCTGCCTACCAAGTGCCGGGATTAAAGCTGTGCGCCACCACCCCCGGTTCTAAGAGAATGTTTTTCAACACGCAAGAATTTTGCAAATTTTTCCTAATCTTAATTGTCATCAATTATGTAACATTTGAACTGATAAAAACTTACCTGGAAATCTTGGATGAATGTGAGAAAATAGAAAATAAAACCAAAGGCCACACTCCATTCACAGATCGCGCTTGCTATGTGATACACATAATCCTAATGACAATAATAAAGAAAGAGAATTCAGCCTCAGGACTCATGTGAAAGAAATCACCTGAAATATGAGAGAGTCAGACCAGAGAAAAAAGCTGCCCAATGAACATGAATCACAATCTTGAGGAAACAGCAGAAGCAAAGCCAGGCAGCTAGAGTCAGAGACCTGTCCAGTGCCTATGGGAAACATCCCCAAAGTTCTTTTCTGGGTCTCTCTTTTAGCTTGAAGACTTGCTCTACATAGCTTCAAAATGTAGAATAAGGGCCACAAAATAGTAGAGACCAGGAAGCAAATTTGGACTGCACTGAAGAAAGAACTTTGTGCACAAGGCATGACTTGCTTTTCCTTTACTGTGAGTCCCTTAGTTGAAGGGCAACATCTAAGCGCCTCCTGGGCACTTCTGTGGATCACATAAGAATGACTGTGTGTGTGCAGACAGACCGACCATATGGCCACCCTGCTAGGTTTCATGTTTCTCTGTTACTACAGACGTTAGTTCAGCAAGTGCTCTGCTTAGCATGATAAGGTAAATACAGCTGCGGAGCAGATGCCGGCGGCAACACAGCCACGTCATCACCGCGCATCTTGGAGGAAGGAAGGAGAAGGAGGCCAAGATTCAGTGGCTTTAATTGGGGCTTCCAAACTCAGTTGTCTGAAGGCCAGAAAGACTAAAAATAAATGAACCAGAAGGCTGTTAAGATAGAGAAGATTGAAGTCCATCATACTTCATCAACTCATCATTTTCCTTTTCTAAATTTCATTTTTACTTTTAGTTTATTTGTTCATTTATTTATCTTGGCAGGGGATTTTCACAAGGTAGGAAAGAGCTCTACCTCTGAGCTACAGCCCATCTACTAACTGCATTTTCTTTCTTTGTTTCATTATTTTAATTTTGTTTATTATCTTATGTGTATGAGTGTATTGCCTGCATGTAGGTAAGTGCACCCCTGTCATGCAATGCCTGCAGAGGTCAGAAGAGGCTGTTGGATCCCCTGGGACTGGAGTTACAGACAGTTGTTAGCTGCCATGTGGGTGCTGGGAGTCAAACCCGGGTCTTTGTCAAGAACAACCAGTGTTCTTAACCGCTGAGCCATCTCTCCAGCCTGTTTTATTATTTTATTTATTATTTTTATTTTATGTGTCTGAGTGCATTGCCTGCATGTATATAAGTGTACCCATGTTGTACAAGGCCTGTAGAAGTCAGAAGAGTGTTGGATCCCCTGGAACTGGAGTTATAGATGGCTGTCAGCTGCCATGTGGGTGCTGGGAATCGAACCCACGTCCTCTGCAAGAGCAGCCAGTGCTCTTAACCGCTGAGCCATCTGTCCAGCCCCTACTCACTGCATTTTCACAAAATGGGAATATAATACTTCAGTGCTGCTTCAGAAGTAAAAAGCCTCTACATACATGTGCATAAGAGTGTGTGTAATCTGCTTTTCTTTTTAATGTTGGACACTTGCTTAAAAGCACTTTTAAATTCTAAGTAAAAACTACACCTCTGCTTTCAGCTTACATGCCAAATTAGGACCACAGACACTTAGTCTGAGGCCTATGATTTCAAGTAAAATGGCTTAAATTTTGCTACTTCACTTCTGCACTTTTGCAGTTTACAAGCGAGAGTAAAAGAGTGAGTTTTAGAGTGACCCAGGCTGGTCTTGAGCTTATGCTCCTTTTGCCTTAGGGTGATGGCTCTTTGCTTTCATCATCTTTCATCCACAAAGATTTAATAGATGTGCATCAAACTCTTATACACATCTCCACACATGTTCACATCCACCCATTGTTCTCACCCAAGGTCTTAACTGGGAGAACCCCACCAGCCTACATTAGGGGTGGAGAATGGTGGCCTCCAATTTTTGGTGCCAACAGCAGGGGTCATGCCGAATGAAGATGGCTTATAAAAATAGAGGGCAGCCCGGCACATGGCTCAGTGGGTAATGGTACTTATTGCCAAGCTTAATGACTTGTGTTCCATCCTTCTCGCACATGGTGGAAGGGAGAACCAACCACCCCAGAGAGCTGTACTCTGACCTCCATATGTGGGTCATGGCACACACACGTGCACAAAATAACTTAAATAAATGTTTTCTTTTTTTTAAAGGGGCAATGAGGGTGGGGCTCTTTAGTGCACGATGACAATGTACTAAACCAGAGCCCCAATTTCTCCACCATATGTGTGAATGCAGGCTAAGCCCTAATCTTCTTGCCATATGAATGAGAACATGCCATTATAATCTTCCTGTGCCCATCAATGTGCATAAATGTTCAAGGAAAGCTCTAATACACACCATGGAAGTTTGGAGGCAGTGCTAACATTATTCTACCCAGCTCATGGATTTAAAGGATTTTCATCATAGCATTATTGATCCTGGCAGCAGAAAGCTGTATCAGAGTGAATGCGGTGAAAGAGAAAACCGGACACCAGATACTTTTTATTCTTTTTTAAGGAAAGGGTCTCTCTGTGCAGCCCAGGACGGCCTTGCTCATACTCCCGACCTGCGTGAGCTTTGTGAGACCTGGGATTACAGGCTTGTGCCACCCTGCCCAGTTGCTTTTTCACTCTTTCAAATAGGAAATGGAATCTGTTATTTTCAGCCACCTTGGGGCAATTCTTTGCTTGCGCCCTTCTGAGCAGCTGATTTGCGTTTGATTTGTGGGGGAGTGCTGCCACCTGGTGGCTAATGGTGAAAATACACCAGGAGCAGCTCTGTTGTGAGGTCTCCGCCGTCAGGTGGTTTCTGCTCCATGGATTTCACCTCCACTCAGGAAATGGCCTTTTGTCTAGGTCTAGTCTACTGGCTAATTTGACCATTTTGATGTTACAGTCAAAGGAAGTACTTTTGAACACCTGACTGGAGCTTTATCTTCCTCAGCATCTTCTTATGATCCTTGCCTTGGTGGGTTCCTTTGAGTGCCAGGATCTCCTGTTGAGTATAAAGTCCTTGCTCTGGCCCTGCTGTCCCTTCTGCCCATCGCTGCACTGATCCTCTTCCTCTCACCTTCAGTCCAGAATGGGCAAACATTTAGTTGTCGGCTGAACAACTAAATTATTCCCCTGCCACAGCCTTACCCTCTGCACAGCTTTTAGCCCAATAGTTTACTGAAATTCTTTTTTGAGAAACAGTGACTCTCTTGCTGCACAAAAGTCAGGAACCTCATTCCTCAGACAGCTCAGCTACATCTGCCATGGTTAACTATTGCCATTTCCTTTCAAAAGCATCCTCTCTTGGTCTCTGGGATACTTTTCCTTACTCCATAGCGAGAATCAACTACCATTGTTTCTACATTTCTACAATATGTTGTTTGGACTTCTGTTCAGAATTTCTCTTGTTCCTCAAAATACTATATACTTGGCGGGTGACAACCAATATTTGCCCCACTAAACTCTCAGCTTTCTTGAGGACTCACTCTTCCCAAAGCTTGTCTCTCTTTCTGGCTTTCCCCGTAGTCTTTCTTGTGGAAGGGACTCAGTTAATGAGAACTGTCCTGTACAATCTGGTTCTTATATTGGCCCATGACTCCTCTGGTTTCTTTCTTTGTTGACTGAAGATTTTCTTCCATGTGCTGTACAGTTTCGGTTGTCAACTTGACACACCTGGGAAGTGGGAACCTCAATTAAGGAATTTCCTCTATCAAAGTGGCCTGTGGCCATGTATGTAAGGCATTTTCTTGTTTGTTGAGTGATGTGGGAGGGACCAGCCCACTGTGGATGGTGCCACCTCTGGGCAGGTGGTCCTGTATTGTATAAGAAAGCAGGTTGAGCACAGGCCAAGGGAGGAAGCCAGTAAGCAGCATTCCTCCATAGCCTGTGCTCAGTTCCTGCCTCCAAGCTCCTGCCTTGGTCTCCTCAGTGATGAATTGTGGTCAGGATGTCTAAGCCCAATTATGATCAGGATGCAGAGCCTTTCCTCTCCAAGTTGGTTCTGGTCAGTGCTTTGTCACAGTAATAGGAAGCTAGCTAGGACACTCTACTTTCCCTTTGGAAAATTATCCTGTTGTTCTCTCATCATCTCTCTTGTCTCCCGGGGTTCATCCATTCATCCTCCCATGTGACTCCCCCCTCCCCATACACACACCAGATGAACCACCTCCAAAGTTATCTCACTACACTGGGCCATCTCAGTGCCACATATTTTCTTCATGGGTCCTGATATTTGGTCTGGAAATCATCAGGCCTTCTGCTCTGACAGTTCTATAATCCTGCCAGAGACCTAGTCACATATTTCTAATTAGACATCAGTGCTTTATGTCTAACTGTAGCCTCATATTCAGTTATTCTAAAACCAAACTCTCCTGCTTCCACCTACAAAAATAATGGATCTTTAAGACAAGAATTTGGGAACAGAGGATGGAGAGATGGCTCAGCAGTTAAGAACATTGCTGTTCTTCCAAAGGACCCAGGTTCAATTCCCAGCACCTACATTTTGGTTAACAACTATCTATAACTCTAGTTCCAGGGGACCTGATGCCCTCTTCTGGCCTCTACAGGCTTTGCACAACATGGGTGCCCTTACATACATGCAGGCAAAACACTCATACCCATAAAATATATATATATTTTTGCTGGGTGTGGTAGCACATGTTTTTAATCCCAGCACTCGGGAAGCAGAGGCAGGCAGATCTCTGTGAGTTTGAAGCCAGCCTGGTCTACATAGTGAGTTTCAGGGCAGCTGGGTCCACTCTCTCAAAAAAGACTATATATATACATATATATATATATATATATATATAAAATTTGGGGACAAATTATTTGATTCATCCAAGAAAAAGACTTGGAAGTCATCTATGAATCACTATGCACCTTCAATAACTTGCCAATACCCACCATTTCCCTCTGCTGTTGTCCCAACTCATGCTGACATGACTGAATCCAAATTACTTAAACTGTCTTCTTTTCCATCCATCACAGGTATCACTTTCTTCCTAATAATGCATCCAGTCATATTCTCTGTATTCACTTTCCTGGTCAAGGGCCTTCAAGGGTTTGCTCTGGCCACCCAAGTCAAATACACACCATTTTGCCTGCCTCTCAAAAACCACTGCTTCCTACTCTACACTGAGATGAACACTTGTACTGCACTGGAGCTGACCCTGTCTTCACTGCTTAACAATCTTCACTTCCCATGTACCCCATAACCCTTCAATCCATGTCCCCCAAAATTAGATGTTTTAGAAAGAATTCAGAAATTCAATTATTTGGAAGCAATCCAGGAATCCATTTGAGATGACTCTGATAAGCTTATATTAAACAAATACCATGGAAAGTCATTGTTTTGGACTGAATTCCTACACTGTGCCCCAACAGACCAGACCAAACCAAAATGAAGGTGCTAATGAGAAATGTCACCCAATCAAACTGATTTTGTTGTTGTTTTGAGACAGTCTCTCTATGTGACTCAGGCTGTCCTGGAACTCACCCTGGAGCCCACAATGACCCTCAAACCTGCAACGATGCTCCTGCCTCAGCTTCCCAGTGCTGGGGTTACAGATATAAGCCTAGCCAAACTGACATTTACTAAGGAAGTAGGTAAATCCCCCAAACTGACCAGTCTTCAGTCAGTAATGTGGTGTAACCTGATGTTAATCTTCTCCCCATTGTTCTTTGTTTATACCTTAAAAAAAAATCTGCTCTCTGTCATTGCCCACTGTCAATGTGTGTGTGTGTGTGTGTGTGTGTGTGTGTGTGTGTGTGTGTGTACTGTTCTAATTCACAGCCTTGAACAAGCTAGGCAAGCACTCTACCATTGAACTACATGCCCACTCCAGTGGAGCTCTAACTTCTGTTTTGTAGAATGAAAGCTGCCCTGAATTCATGAATTGCAAATAAAGGACAATTAGATCTATAAGTTAACTGACTTTTGAAGCTAATAACCAAGCTCACACAGTAAGTTAATTATATGCCACATTAATCCACAGTTTTCAACTTATTCTAAGAAATAGCAGTGATCCTAAGATTCACCTAGCCACAGTCTCATAAAGGCTCAAGAATGATACTGAGAATAAATTGTTACCTTTTCTTTTGGATTCCATTCCAGCTTGGTTATAGAAATTAGGGAAGCACAGGCAATCACTTATAAAAAAGGAAGTTGTTAAGGAAACTACAGAAGAAAACAGATCCTTTAATAATACTAAGACAGTTCTAAGAATATAATAGTTACACATAGTGTTTCAATGTTTCTAACCAATATTTCTACAATCACAACCAACTATATCAGCTGCTGATAATCTCAGACCTTTGATCATGACCACAGCTAAATTACAAGAGGCAAAACTTGCCTAGAACTCATGAGGCCTTAGGCTTAATCCCCAGTATCACACACACACACACACACACACACACACACACACACACACATTAAAAACATAACTAAATTATACTATGGAAATGTAGTTATTCCTTAGCTATTCTTTTTGGGGGTATGATAGTAAAATTTTAATCTGTGTCTAGTTTCCTCAACCCCAAGCATTTCTGGGTGTTCCCACTTAGGCAAGCTGCTTAAAGCTGGACTAAGTGGCTATCACAGAAATCCAAGACAGGTCCTTTGCTTGCTGCTGAGTAAGAATATATTTTCTCTAAAATCACATTTCAGGTAACAGCTTTAAGGAAAATTAACATTTCATATATAAAAATGAGCTGCTGAAATTCAAACTATGACCTTTTAGAAACAGACTTTTGTTGGGTAGTTGGGTAGAAGTGGAGCCTACTTCCTCCTGACCCAGAATTTACACAGCCAAGACAGTCCACTGAAGTCAAACTCCGGGGATGAATGGCAAACCGCTACAGACCAGCTTAGCAGCGCCAGCCACTGAGGCCTCTACCTTCCCTGGGCACTACAGTCTCACAGGGCAGGGACTGAACTTAAAGAGTGAAGAAGAAAGCTAAGAGAAATCAAAAGCTCTAAAAAGGTCTATTTTTAAAAAAATACATGGAATTCAAGTGCTGAGCCAAAGCTAAACTTCAAGCCTCCTCTGCGTGTGGAGTCAGCACATCCTCCCTGGGTCCCTCCCTTCGTATTTTGCAATGCTTAACAACTTCTCATTTTCTCAAAAAAGAAAAAAAAGGTAGTAGAAAGCACAAACAATTCCTTGATCATCTACCATACTTCTGTTTCCATTTGGCTAAAAGTCTATTAATTCCTTCATTCTTTAGTTCCATCATCGGTGTGCGAGGTTCCACACTGGGGGGGGAAGTTCAGTCAAACACATTTGGTCTCAGCTCTTAGAAATGGTGAAGTCTCATTAGACAAAGGCCAGAGAACATGGTGTGTAGAGAGAAGGCAGCAAGGAACAGCAATGAGTCAGATGGAAAACCATTAATTCAGAATGGACTGGCATTCGGGATACCAGGGAACACATCAGAGTTAAACCTCATCTAAATTATGAAGTTTGAAGACCTCTCTAGAGCAGCCCCATTCTGAAGAACTATAACATGTAAGTTTAAATTTTCTAGTGACCATAGTTTTTGGGTTTTTGGGTGGGGGGGTTGGTATTTTTGAGCCCCAGTTGGCTGGAACTCACTACGTAGACCAGGCTGGCCTCGAACTCACAGAGATCCTCCTGCCTCTGCCTCCCAAGTGCTAGGATTAAATGCACCATCATGCCTGGTTTGTAGCCATGTTTTTAAAGAAAAAAAATGGCATTAATCTTAATAATATATCTTATTTAACCCAACATATTAAAATACTATTAGTATACTAATATTGATATATTATTTGATGTTTTATCTTACATATTGATGATAACATCCTATGGTAATATATTAAATAATACTATCAGTAATGGAGCTGGAGAGATGGTTTAGTGGTTAAGAGCACATGCTGCTCTTGTAGAGGACTTGAGTTCAATCCCCAGCACCTATGTCTGGTGGCTCACAACTGCCTATCACTGTAGCTCCAGGGGATCCGATGCCTTCTCCTGGCCTCCTCAGGCACCTGTACTCATGTGCACATACCTACACACTGACACACACACATATATACATAATTTTAAAATAAATAAAATATTATTTATAGCATAATTGTAATGTATAATAATATAAAGAATTACAAATGTAAGCTGGGTGTACTGTCAGTAATCCCAACACTTAGGAGGGTATGACAGGAGGACCTAAATTTTGAAGCTATCCTGGGCTACTAGTAAGCTTAAATTAATGAGATCATATACATTCGTTTTTCTTCTTCTCATCAAGTCTTTGAAATTGAGTGTGTATTATTTAGGAAGCATCTCAATTTGGGCTAGCCATATTTCAAGTGAAAAAAGTCACATATCATTACTGTGATGGGCTAATAGCCCAGTTCTAGAAAGATGAGGGAGGGTAATTCAGACCTTGAGAATGGGCAAAACCAGAGAACAAGGAGCCATCAGGCCTAGCAGGGAAAGCGTGTAGCAGTGAGGCTGAAGAAATAGGAAGTCTCGAGACTGGAGGTTATGAGCACTGACTGCTCTTGCAGAGGACCCAGGTTCGATTCCCAGCACCCACATGGTGGCTAATGACCATCTGTAACTCCAGTTCTAGGGGATCTGACTTCCTCTTCTGACCTCTGAGGGCACTGCACAACACAGGTGCACTTACATACATGCAGGCAATGCACTCATACACATAAAATAAAAATAAAACACTATTAAAAGAAAAGAAAAAGAAGTCTCAGATCACAGGCCAGCACAGGAACCTGGCCTGTTTTTGTTGCTTGTGACGCTGTGAAGGTTTTTTTTTCTTTCTTTCTTGATTTTTCTTTCTTCTATTCTTCCTTTCTTCTCTCGTTTTTCCTCTTCTCTCCCTTCCTTCCTTCCTCCCTCCCTCCTTCCCTCCTTCCTTCCTTCTTTCCTCCCTCCCTCCTCTTCCTTCCTTCCTTCCTTCCTTCCTTCCTTCCTTCCTTCCTTCCTTCCTTCCTTCCTTTCTTTTTTTTCTCTCTTTCTCATGTACCATCACTCCTGGCCCTGTGAGGCTTTTGAAGCCTTAGAATTTGAGGCAGGTGGGACAAGAAGTTTAGAGACCTGGTACTCAACGCCTGTCCTCTGTGGCTCAGTTTCTTCAGGAGTCAAGTGAGGCTATTTCACAGAAATAGAACAGGAAGGAGAAACAAGCGTACTTTAAGGAGGCTTTAAATTCTTTAAAAGGGGGGGCTGGAGAGATGGTTCAGCAGTTAAGAATGCTGGTTGTTCTTGCAGAAGACCTGGGTTCAAATCCCAGCACCCACATGGCGGCTAACAACTGTCGGTAACTCTAGTTCCAGGGGATCCGATGGCCTCTTCTGACCTCCATGGGCATTGCACGACATGGGTGCACTTACCTACATGCAGGCAATACATGCATACACATAAAGTAAAAAT